GTGGGGTGCAGTGCAGGGGGTGCACACCCCCCAGTGGTGTGCAGCACCCCCTTCAAGAAAACTCTGGTATTCCATATTTGAGTTGTGAACACTACTAATTATTATATTGAAACAATTGATTTTCAAATACGCGAGAAGGTATTCAAGTACCAATACCGTGGGTCATCATATAACGTAGCACTGTGAGGACAAATTTAAGTACTGTGAGGACAAATTTAAGGAATGAATGTAGTGCTCAGAATGCAGGAAATGGCATTTCAGGGCTTCAAATTTCAAAAATTTCCTGGGGGACAATGCTCCTTCACCCCTGTCGTAATGCACCCCCTCTGGAAAATCTTCACCCCCTCTAACAAATCAGGCCAGATCCACTCCTGTTGTAGCTTAATAAATTAACAAGGTACATGCATTGGGCAGAAAATTTGGTTGAATAAATGTATAGCTAAAACTATAAATATAATGTGGGGAAAATACTCTAGATATATACAGTACTTAGCTTCTTCAATAGAGGAGAGCAATTTTGAGGTGTGCCTAACATAGTTATGGTACCTCCATTTTTGTTTTCCCTTAGCCTCAAAGTATGATATCGGTACATCAGTGGACTAAACAAACAAAAGAATTTGCATACAGTATTTCAGAGCTATCATGATCACAAAAATATAACATACTAGTATATACTCGTAGTAAATCCCAACATTATCTTGCTTGTGACCGAGGCCGGATTTTTACCTGCAAATTCAATGAACTGACAATAGTACTCGAATAACTTTTCACCTACCAATTCACCTGCATCATCTGATTGTTTAGCACCATAATATCCAGTCAGCTCCAGCAGTCTATTTTCACAATCCAACGAAACCGATTCACCTGAAAATAATTCACATAATATAACAAGATCCGCTAACATATATATTGCACTGAGAAGGATACTTAATCTGGCCTACAGCAAATCACCTGGTGACTACCATACCTTTAGCAACCAGTTGTTCATACAAGTGAATTGCTTTTCCAGTCTGTTTCACTGCTATTAAATCTACAAATAATAGAAATAAAGTTTAGGAAATTAAAACCCAAAGAAAACCACTCTCTCTTATGAGTAACAATAATAATATACAGTATATACATGTATTTCAAAATAGGATTCTATTCAATATATAAAATTTTCTTACCTTGTAACGTTTTCTCGTCACCACCTTTTATTTCTATAGGCAATTCTTCTGGCCATGCCTGTTGTGAATGCAAAAAATAATTTTCTCGTAAATTTCTGATAAATATATATTAATCATTATGTCCAATACATCGTATTCACTTTTCTAATATTAATTATAGTAATTGGATCTATCAACCCATTGAGTAGCAGCACTCTCCCCCTGATGAGTAAAATCATCTGGCGTTAGACAGAGTGAAATAATAAAGTAGGGTGCATCTGGGCACATTGCCACTTAAATTAAAGGGTTGACAGGGTGCATCCATGGGCAGATAGTCTGATTAACCCATTGAGTGACAGCACTCTCTCCCTGATGAGTAAAATCATCTGGCATTCGACAGAGTGAAATAATAAAGTAGGGTGCATCTGGGCACATTGCCACTTAAAGGGTGACAGGGTGTATTAGGCAGATAGTCTGTTTAACCCATTGAGTGGGAGCACTCTCTCCCTGACAAGTAAAATTGTCTGGTGTTAGACAGAGTAAAATAATAGAGTAGGGTGAATCTGGGTGCATTGCCATTTAAATGGTTAAAGAATGGCTGATGTTTAATTTAAAAAGTTTCATAAAAGTCATACAGACATTTTTCTTACAGGTTCAGGTTTCCTCAAAGGAAATAAATGAGGATATGTTTTAATGATATATTCTGCAGCTTTCTTTCCCTCCTCTCTGGCTTTTAAAAGCTCATTCTATATGAAAAAAAATATAGTAAAAATATTGACTCAAAGTTAATGCAAACATGCCTACATTGTCGGACTAGTATATCTGGCTTCATGGTTGAAAAACAGACACTTTACAGTACCTTACGTGTACTGGTTCTCGGCATCAAAAACGGATCCTCAAAGAATCCATGGATTGGTGCATTCGGTTCCTGGATGAGAAAACATTAGGTAAATTTTGAAATACAAATTTTTTGTTGTTGATAATAAGAGAGGATTCCCGATTCCAATATTTTAAGTTTAGAGTGAATTACTTACCGGCTTAATGGTTGACGCAAGGGCCTTTAGTACTTTTAGTTTCTCTCTAAAAAGGATGAATTATAACCTATATACATATATTTATAAAAATAATCTGATTTCACTCCAACCAATATTTTATTTTTTGGTTTTCTTGCACAAGAATGGGCCTCCTCTTGACCAATATGTGTCATGCACAAAGGCTGCCCTTGGTGCACAAAATACTTCAATATTTGATTCTTGTGCACACTATGGGTCAATGACTGGAGACATATTGTTTTTGTTATCAGATAGGAAAGCATTTGCTTAGTCCAGATTAGACTTGCCACAAGTCCGCCTCAGAACTTTTTCCATATTTTTTTTTAAAAGCCGGAAAGCTGAGAGGGATGCAAAGTTGAGAGCGGAACCGCGCATTTGAAAAGGACTTTGCAAAAGTCTAAGTCCAGATTTTTATGGCATCTACTATGACATATAAAAAAACTATATAAATGGCAAATTCTTGCCTTACTATGAATTACAAGATTACAAGATGGTGATTAATACTAATTTGCCCAATATACAACTGTCATAACAATAAAATTATTCCATCAAAATTACTCACCTTGTTACTTCTGGAGCGTATTCAGCTGCTGACAAGTCTAAACAAATATATCATCAGGCAAAAATTAAATTTATCTTACAAAAGTTATATAAATAATGCATTTCAAGTATTAAACATTTTATCATCACAATACCAGAATTCTCTATTTCTTCTTGGGAAGACTGGCTTGTCAAACAGTTATATCTAACAAAATTGTATATATCAAGTTTGTAAATTTCATGTGAAAAAAATAAATAAGGATGTACTGTTTGGACATAGTCAATACCCCCCTCCCAACATCCATAAACCTTCAGGTCCCATGCCTGGAAATAGGGACAGACACCAAGGGGGATAGGGTCGCAGTGCTCGTACAACCAAGGGGGCAGGGTGTGTTTCATTGTGGACTAATTTTGTAACAAATTCACATGCAGCCCCAACTGTGTTGCTCATTGCCCATTTGAGACATATCTCACATTGGGTCATTTCAGGAGATATCCAGATTCTAACAAAGAAAATTTCTGCTGTCCAGAGGGTGGGGTTGGGGAGGGGTCAGGGGTGTATCAATTTCTATCATAGTAAACTGTACTAGGACATCTGAAAGGGAGGGAGTTCACTTTCAATTTCCTCCACGGGGAAGGTGATGAAAGTTATGAAACAATACTGTGTCAGATATTACAAGTTTATACAACAACACGTGTCAAAAACCAAAATGAACCGCATTCATGCATTTGTATTGGCCAGAAGTAAAACATACTAATCTCATATTTATAGGGTATATGTGGAGCACTCTCAAACAACCATAAACATACCCAGTTTTGCTAGACGTCGTGTATAAACCAGGTATTCGTCTTAAACATTTTCTGCACAAAACGACAGCCATATTGGATTTCTTGCCTGCTAGAGCCCAGGGCCCTGTGGCGAACGTTGTTTGAATTTTGAAATGTTTATTTTGTATTTTTGTCTTTATTTTGTCAACAAGTGAAACAACAACAGATAAACATAAACAAAGGGCATTATTTGGCACTTATCAATATAAAAGAAATGTTAAAATGAGAGCAGGTCTATAGATCTAGAGTTCTTGACCTATCAATGTTAACCCTCAGAGGGGGGGGGGGGCATATGTGGGGTATTTGATCATCAATTGCATCCCCACCCTGGGGATTTTGATTAGCATTTTGGCCCCGAGTTGGGGCAATTTGAACCGAATGACTTTTATTAACATTGTATTTATTGCAATTTATTGCAAATGGTGGGGCATTTGACCAATATTTATTGCCCGAGGGTGGGGCATTTGATTGAAAATTTGCTTAAAAAATCAAATGCCCCACCTATGCCTACCCCCCCCCCCTCTGGGGATTAACATTGATAGGTGCATTATATTAAAGTGGGGTGTGCTATTAAATCATCCTTACTTGCAGCTGAGAGCTAAGCTGAATTACGAAGGACGCAGCTGAACGTGACCTGATCGAGGCGAAGGCTTTCTAAGGGCGTCTCTGGCAGCCACCTTATGACTCATGTCTGATCACGGAGTACAGCTACGGGGGAAGGGTCAGTTAGGGGGTTAATCCCAACCCACCCTGTCAATATTCCAACAACTCAAACTGGTTCCACAATCACGCTCCGTCTTGATTAGAATTTAGGACCTCGGCGACGAAAATAACGCCGACATGCAAAATAAAAATGCCCTTGGCCCCATCTACGCAAAAAACATATAGTGTCAAATTGGTTGACGCACTGACAATGCAACCTGATAAATCAAATGTATACAATTTTGAGGCAGTTTTACATGTAATACATAATTGTACTTTCTGAAAATATAGTTTTGAGAGTCTGCTAGGAGTTTTTACGCAACAAGGGAACAAAGCATATTTTGTCATCTGAGCAACAAGGGATCATGGTGAATCTTTTTTAGGAATGAGAGAACAAAGGAAAACTTTTTTTAACTCGGGAATCTGATCTCCCCGCCCCCGCCCCCCCCCCCCCTTTCCCTGGAAAGTTCCTGGAAACATGGACCGCGGGGCCTGTTTAAAAGTGGGGGGGGGCAGGATAGCACGGGAGCTATTCCACGCAGGTAATTTTTTATTATCCGGTAATTTTTTATTATCCACCGAAAAAGTGGGGGGATGCCCCCCCCCCCTTGTTCCGCGGTCCCTGGGAAAGACCTCTCAGGCCCCCTCTCAAATCAATCGTCACTGACAAATCTTGTGAAAAACCTGTGACCTTCGTCGATCAAGAAAGAAGCAAAGCGCATGCGTGATGTCATGTGAATAAGCTTAATAAATCTCTGTAAATGTTTATTATTGAAATGATCATGTAGTTTTATAGACATTCATACTGTAAACGCGACCTTTTTAACGCCAATTCTGATGGCGTTTCTTAAAAGCGTAATCTATGGATTTTCAATCTGTTGGTTGGCTGAATTCTTAATCTGTTCTGTAGAAGCGGCCGGGAAAATCCATCGTGCTGGTCCAAGACCCAAAACTGGTGTGGATGCAGACGAATTCTCCGGCGATTTGTCAGCCGATTACAACCCTTGGTTTTATGCTATCTGTGGGACAATGTTAGTTGGCCTTACGGGGATATTTCCTTTGTTAATTATTCCCGTGGAAGCCGGACATAAGCTCAGTGAAGGAGGTAGATTTGTTTTATATATTCTATTTATTGTAATCGTAGGCATTTATATTATATAGCGCACTAAGGGATTAATTTACGATGTAATATATTCTCTTGTGAATTGATCTTTTGTCAGCCAATTCATATTAAGGATTCCTTGTGTAAACGAGCTATGTGCGTCAAACCAAATTCAAACTGTCTACCACAATAAACCTATAAACCACGTCGAGATATTGTCTATGTATTAATATGGAATTCAAATATGTAACAAATATTGTGTCACTTTATATATTTTCCTTCGAAAGATACCAAAGTCTTTGCATTGAGGTTTATATTTGGAAGCTTTTCTAGGTTTTTACAGTAATAAAACGTGTCCTGTACAATTCTTATAGTAGTTACATGTAGTCTGAGGCGAATTGTCTGAGATTACAGATCATTTCAAGTCAAATTTTACTTTTTTCACATGACATAGATTGTTTGTGTGATGTTACTCTGAGTGTATATCCACACCGGGCAGGCTTGAAAAATATGCTTGAAAAAATATGCTTGAAAAATATTCCAAAGGTCGTAGGTTCGAAACCCGCCGTGGCCAGGCATATTTTTCAAGCCTGCCCGGTGTGGAAATACACTCAGAGTAACATCACACAAACATCTTATTCACCTGAGTACATTACACCAACACAGCAGATTTCATGACATAGATTGTTATTACAAGCATGTTGTGTAAATAATGATTGGTTTATCCGGGCGTTTTTGATCACGTTTCCCCCTCTTTCTTGGAGGATAATTAACCTGTTTCACTACCGAGGGATCTTAAATTGCCCAGTTTATTTAATTTTGACTTCCTTAGCATGCTAATGTGATTTTACCCACGGACCAGGCTATCAAATAATATTCCTTCTCGACAGCATGTCTGGTAGCATCTAAATATTACTGTAATTGTATTCAATAAGAGGTATAGGGTGATTTAAATGGGCTAAATGTACATATACTACAGTATGCCAAAGGAAATTAAAATAAATCACAGGCTTTTCAAAAATACAGTTGCAGTCCAATATATTCCTCTTTCCTTCCTATTTCCTTCAGCATTAAAGAAATATATTCATTAATTTCATGCTTCTATAGTTTTAAAGTATCCACTTATAAATGATAATGTATTCATTTTAGTACTTGTTTGTAAATGATTGGCTGTTGCTGTTTTATCACCCAGACATCAAACAGATTTTATCTTTTTTAATATTTTAAAATCTTAAAATAAATTAATCTACAATTTGATCAAGTTTCATTAATTTGTGATATCCCAGTTGGACAGCTGTGTGTACTGCAATAAAATGAAAACATTTAATTACAAATAATTTACATGTAAACATTGAATATAATTAGCATATACTTCTTGCCCTCTCTGTCTTGGTTTGTATTAATTGGATTGTTTGACAGATTCACTAATCTTCTTCACAAGTAAAATTTTCTGGCAAGTTATACATCACATGCCAGAACCCCTTTTAGTGAGTGATAAATGTCATGCAAAGGTGGATGCATCCCCCCCCCCCCCCACTTTTTGGACATTCGTAATATAATCTGCAATAAATTATGTCTGTTGGCCAGTTCCTTCCTCCACCCACCCCCACATTTTGGAATGGATTTTCACGACACAAATGCTGAGTTAACTGCATGGTATGGTTATTTTTAACCCTGGTACCGGGCTATAAAGTTATATTTACTTCTGGCTAACACCAGACAATTTTACCCTGTTCAATTTCAGTATCGGCAGACAGACTGAAGTTATTGTTAAGTTTTGCTGTTGGTGGATTACTGGGTGATGTATTCCTGCACCTGTTGCCAGAAGCATTTGGTCCTGTTAATGCAGGTAAACTAGTGTTTTTCTTCACAGATTTCCTTCATAAACCTTTTGAAATACATTTTAAAACAAATGACTTAATTCCAGTTCCAATATGTACATTGTTATGAAATAAAATTTTTATTGCCTTCAGGCAATAAAAATTTTATTTCAGAACAATGTACATATTGGAACTGGAATTAAGCCCTAACACTCTCATGCTTACTGAACTACTGCTACCTGACTGTATGTTTCAGAAACAGCTCATGATGATAACCTAAGGATTGGTCTCTGGATAATCGGAGGTATTTTAACATTTCTGGTTCTGGAGAAAATATTTAAAGAGGAATCTGAAAAGGAACCAAAATGTGAAGCTAAAGAGGTTATTAGAAACACATTTATTTTTTTATTATAAAATTTAACCAAATAATGTTAAAATTATTATAAACTGTAACCCTTTGACAAGTAAAATTATCTGGCATTAAACATAGGAGTTGGGCTCATTAGAGCACATTATGGCTTTCTTATTATCTCTACCTTGATCTCCACCATAATTTCAGGTAAAAATGGACTGTGTGGTACTGGGAACTGAAAACATCCTGAGGCTCCTGGTTTAGTGAAAAGGGATAGACTCGGCCCTCACTGTATGGCCGATGCAGACAATAGGCCTCTTCGACCTACTTACCAGTTCTCTTTTACCTTGTTTTTGCTATTTGTTTGTCTATCGACCATTACATCAAGACATCAAGTACCTTTTAATTGTGGTATTCATAGAAAAGTGAAGAAGCAGACGGTCATGTTTGTAATGGGTCAACCACGGTCGTAAATGGCTCCACCAAACATCAAGATTCTGATGTGAGAAAAAGAGTGAAAGAGTCAAATGATGCTGATAAAACTAAAGAATGTTCACATGAAGAAAATCATGTCCCATCAGGAAAGAAAGAAATTAAGGTTTTATTTTGTACTGGTATCTTTTGAGGGTGTAATACTTCGTACAACTGGCCCCTGGTGAAGAATTTGAAATGACATGCATCCAACTCTGGGTTTCTAAAAGTTTCTAAGGTACTATATAATGTTGACTTACTTGATATGTAAAATACCTTATTATGTTTTTAAAATGAACTTGTAGGTTATTGGTTACCTCAATCTCCTTGCTAACTGTATTGATAATTTTACACATGGGCTGGCAGTCTCGGGAAGTTTCCTTGTCAGTAAAAAGGTAACAATAGAATCTTTTACACTTTGCTGTAGTGTGTAGGTAGTCCCCCAGCAAAAAATGTCGTTTCCAAAATTTCTATGAGTTATGATGTGCTGATGGAATAACCAGGCCTTGGCCGGCAAGGCGCATTTGATCCAGCGTGCGTGCCTCAAAAATGTTTGCTCATTCCTTTTGTCGAGTGTCTTTTTCGATTACAGAAACTTTGATAGTGTAAACCAGCCATTACTAAATGCAGGCATTTTCCATTATTGTTTTTTAGGTTGGCCTCCTTACAACATTTGCAATCCTTTTACATGAAATTCCCCATGAGGTGACAAGAATATAGTCTTTAATTTTTTTATAACGAATAAAAACATATCGCTTGTTCACTTTGGTGCAGTTTTCGGACAAGGAAACTTATGTTAGAAATTTTCCCAAATATAGATTGGTGATTTTGCCATTCTTCTGAAGTCTGGATTCAGACGGTGGGATGCAGCATGGGGACAGGTGAGCTTTTAATTCAGAGTGCAATAATAATGGTTATTGATGTGAGTGCAAACCAGTTTTATCTAGATGTTTTTTAGATGATTTTTTATGTACCCTTCATTTTATGTACCCTTCATTTCCCCAAACATTCACATAACTTTATATTCCCAAATCACTCTTTAGATTGTGACAGCTACTGGTGGTTTAGTTGGTGCTGTCTTTGGATTAGTTTTTGCTGAAGCTGGTGGGTATACTGTATGACAATAATTCATTCAATGATTGAAGAGTGCTAGTCCTTACCCCCACCCCACACCCGTATCCACCAATTTGTTTTATCAAATTGTAAAATCTATTTGTGTAAAATGTATAGGTGATTCAACATGTTGGGTGCTACCATTCACATCTGGTGGTTTTATATATATTGCATTGGTAACCATTGTCCCTGAATTACTAGAAGAGAAAAGACCATGGTATGTGACTCAGGTTATTGGTTTACATTGTAACAAACACTGCAGGTTGTCTCTGGACAGTCTTGTGTCCTGCTATAGCCTCTAGAGACAACAGTTTAATTTTAAAACTAATAAAGTTATCGAGTAACAACAATTTAGTTTATATATACACAAACGGTCTGTGCGAGCTTAGGTAGTAACAAAAACAGCAGAGAAATGCAGGTGGATTAGACTACCTGAAAAATACAAGGAAAACTTCAACGTTTTGAGCAAAGGCCCTTCATCAGGAAGTTAGTTGGTGACAAAGGGCCTTCCCTTGAAGAAATGTCGAAGACCTGCACTTTTCAGGTACAGTAGTTGAATCCATCTGCATTTCTCTAAATATTATATAAGTAATTATAATATGTTTCAAGTGTAATTTGGAGAAAAATCCATGAATCTTAGCCAATACACCCTTTCGATAATTACGTCATAACTACACTGTTTTCAACTTAGGACCACCTTAAATGGAAAGGATTTCAAGTTTTTTTCTCATGGGCTATGCACAGATAAGCAGAACATCCTTCTTCAACACATGCGTGAAAAAAAATTTTGGATTTTGATCAATAAATGTGGAAATAAGCTGTAACGCGAAAACGAGGCTCCAGGTCATGACCTGGAACCTTGTTTCGTGTTAAAGCTTATTTCCACATTTATTGGTCAAAATAAAGAATTATTTTTCATGCATGTGTTGAAGAAGGATGTTCTGCTTCTCTGTGCATAGCCCATGAGAAAAAAACTTGAAATCCTTTCCATTTAAGGCAGTCCTAAGTTGAAAACAGTGTAGTTATGAGTTATGACGTAATTATCGAAAGGGTGTATTGGAATCGAGACATTTTTGCATGTATATTATTAACAGACAGTAATAATCATTGATTTAACATTTTGTTTATTCCAGGGAATCAATGAAACAACTAATATGTCTTATAACTGGAATCACTTCGATGGGCCTGGTGTCTCTTATACACTGAATTGGACAAATGATTAAAATATATTTTGTAAATTAGAGTAAATTGTATGTAGATGAAAATGTAGAAATTAATTTTAGAATAAACGAAGTTGCGTTGAAGCGTGATAAACATGAGCCAGTTTAATGGCATTGCGTTCAAATAGAACATCTATAACCAATCAGAGAGCTTTATTACAATCATCCAATCAGGAGACAGAGTCAGGATCTGACCCTAATTCAAACTGATTGGCGCGGCTCAATGAATCAATTGCCGCTTTCAACCAGAGGTTTATTTTTCCTCTCCCCTTTGCAATCAAAATAATAAAAATAAACCTCTGGAACCAGGGTATCGAATCACATACTAATACTTTATATATAACAATTAATATACATATAAAGTATGTATATATTGTTTCGTTAGCATTGACAAACGACCAAATACGCTGGCACAGATCGAGTTAAAATGTACACCCTTTGGGGCAGGTACAATATTATTCCCTGTATAGGTCCGTATTTTATACGGGGCTAGAATAATCATTGAACATATTTCCCAATAAGTTAAAATGCATTGTCAACGTATGGATGAAAATTCTTGCAGTAAAGTAAACTGTTCCAAATTTGTGACAGCAATACTTTTTCTCACGTCTGCGGTAATATTGCGTACCTAAAAATTGATTATATTAAGATATTTTAGAAAGACATCTAGTCTATATGTGATCATACATGGTATGTGCCCTGATCCTTTACAATAACCTCAAACGTTCCAGCAATAAATAAGTCTCCCGGGGCCTCAAAAGATTTACGGTACTCACCAGCTGCGTGAAGAATGAAGATTCTTTGGGCTTCTCAACATATTTCTCGTAATTATCCAGATTTTCTTGAAGTTTGAGTGTTAACGTGTCGTAGTTTTCGCGAATTACATCCAGTACCTATACGGTGAAGCAACAGAATTTTCATGGATGTATTCAAAGTTCTAAAATAAAACCCTGATCATACTGTATATAGGTGGTACTATACAAAGAGATTTGATTTCAAACCTGTTCAGAAGTCAAAGATGAAAGGTGATTCACAGCAGCCCAGGAGTCAATCTTTGGCGAGAAGTGATTAATAATTGCCCTGGAAAAAGAACGAAAAATAAAAATTTTGTGAATAAATATATTATATGGGTATAGAAAGATTTTCGCACAGTGAGGTGGGTACCATATACGACAGGAAAGACGATGTTTCCAGTACTAAGAAGTTTCATGAGCGAGAAATTATCGTCTATACTACAGTTTGTTGGGGGTGAGCATAAGTAAACTCCATAAATATTTTTGGAGTAAGAACTGTCCAAAAGGCAACGCCGACGTGTAATTGCATCTATTACCTAATGTTTACTAAGCTTCCAGCCAGAGTATCGATCTCTTACCAATCTCTTACCTAATGTTTACTAAGCTTCCAGCCAGAGTATCGATCTCTTACCTAATGTTTACTAAGCTTCCAGCCAGAGTATCGATCTCTTACCAATCTCTTACCTAATGTTTACTAAGCTTCCAGCCAGAGTATTGGCAGAGTGCTTGTTGTGTTTGTTGTCTGTGCCATTAGTAGAGGATGAGTAACGGAGTGCTGAAAATAAAGCAAAAAAATCTTCTCAATCGTCTTGCTTCGCTTTCGGTGGGACAAAAATTCGTGTTCGAGGTACTGCATGTAAGGCACGCACTTGGATCATTACGTGGTTGTCGTAGAGATTATCTCGTACAGAAAAGAGCTTGACTGATTAATGGTCCGATCACAACGGCACCCATTAAGATGAACTCACCCATTGAGTAAAGATTATCGAATATTTGATGAACTCGAATAATTTCGTAGTACAACTCATCATAACATGTTGGACTTGGCAGAAATGTATCACCGTAGGTAATGAAGAGATTGAAGATACTCACAACCTGAAAGTATTAAGAAAATCGCATATATCTTCTAGTCGAAATATATGACTAGAAGTTACTATCGCAAGGAAGTGCTGCCTTATGACCAAAGCCCTGGGGATTGATTATACCAATAAACTTCATTTAATTAAATTGTCTTATACACACTCCAGATGATCTTGATACGCGGAAAAGTACTGGCACTAGTTGTCAAATAGAAATCCATTTTATGATTAAAACAACTGAATATCTCCTGTAATATACTTTATTTCGATTCCATATTTTTGTCAGTGCTATAGTTCTCATAACCAAACATAATTACAAAATTTCAACTAGTTTCATAAAGAATAACGAAAGATATAATTGACTGAATACATCAAAATGGATTTCTATTCGGACAACCCTTTCTGAGCGCTGATTGGCTAAAATACGAACACGAGATCACCTGGCTGTATGTATGAATTTATTTTGTTTAAAAAATATCGAAATTACAACATGCAATAATTACTACAGTATATATACTGTAAAACTCTATAGAACATGTACCTTCGAAGCAAGATGGAATATATTGACCTTCGGAAGCAAATTTGTTTCATTGGTCAAAATAAATTTCAAGAAGTTCATCAATGCCGTCCAAAGATTGTTCCAGGAATAAGACAGCCTCACGCGACATCGTTTCTGATAGCACAGTGTTCGATGTATTACTCCAAATGCTTTGCTAAAATATTAATCGTATATAAATACAACACAATACTGAAATCGCGAGAAAGATTAACATTGATCATACTTGCCTGTACAGGTCAGTCTGAAGATTCTTGGTCATGTGACCCACAATGAATTCCACCATTAAATCTAAATAGTTTCAAACCTCGTTAATAATCCTTTACATAAATAACAGTAATAAATCAGCTTTGAAGCTTTTCAATAAACTTGCAATAGCTGCTAGTATATAAAGGCACACTGTATATGTCTCTGCACACTATCTCAGAACATTACCTCTTTTGGCACGACTTTTGAACAAGGCTAAACGTCTTTAATTTCTAACGGGTTTGACACTTACCCAATAAAGCACAAGCCAGAGGTCTGGACGGAGTCGTTGGATCCGCATAACCGCTTCTGTGATGCATATGCTGAAAATTGAAAACATCGGAAAAAAACATACTTTGCATGAGAGATTCTGACAAAAGAATGTTGATTTTATCAGGGAGAGGGGGAAATCTTCTGCCATCACTGCAAATCATATAAAAAATCCCATACCTTTCTCGCGGATGCGCACCTCCTGCAACGTCCCCCCACACACACACACACAAACACAAACACACACCCCTGGAATCCGTCTGTGCGAAGGGGTTGTTCATACGGAACCATTGAAAATTTTCAACTTCAAAATTTTTTTTCCGACGTAAAGTTTGTGTCGGCCAATCACATTTTACAAAAATTTCTTTCTGCGGAACATTTTCCTGAGTGGAAATGGGCCTTTATGACGGCTTTGATAAGCATCCAAAATGACATTTGAAAGTTGAATTAGATATTAAGTTTGAGTCTTACTTTCATTCCAGTATAACAGTATAAAGTAATAAAGTTCATTCAAACGATCTTTTATGGTCAGGAAAACATTTTCGTGACACGATTCATCCTGGCTAACCAGGCTGGCCTGGCTCGTGGCCCCTAAGCTGCCAGTGAAAATAAGAAGCATGCGTAACAACTCACCACTTTATATAAAGGAACAGAGAAGGTAATATTGGTATCGTGAAGAAATGCGTTAGCATACTGGTCCTGAAAAAACGGAAAGCAGAAACAATACTACTTGTTAATTTAAGATTATATATATACCCACAGGGTCGGTTGTACCAAACCAGTCATCTCATCTGTTTTGATAGGCCGGAAAGAGAACAATTTTATAAATTTATTGACTAACAAAACGTCGATTATATAGAGATGCAACTGCCTGAAAAATACAAGGAAACGAAGGCCCGCTACTAACTTCCCGACGAGGGGCCTTCGCTCGAAACGTCGAAGTTCTCCTTGTATTTTTCAGTTGAATCCCAATTGACCACTTGCGTAATAGACTAAATTTTGATCTCAACAAAAATTTCATCACAGCTTGAAAGAGCATCACAAAATTAGTAATATTCCAAAGTTTCGTTGCGAAATGTTGTAAAATGCGGAAAATATAGCCTTGCGAAGTTTGCAATTTTCAGTCATTTTAGATTACAAACGGGAAATTGACAGCCCCAAACCCGTTTGTAATCTAAAATGACTGAAAATTGCAAACTTCGCAAGGCTATATTTTCCGAATTTTACAACATTTCGCAACGAAACTTTGGAATATTACTAATTTTGTGATGCTCTTTCAAGCTGTGATGAAGTTTTTGTCTAGACTTGTTTAGATCAAAATTTAGTCTATTACGCAAATGGTCAATTCAACCGAAGTTTTGTTATTATTGCATGGTACTACCCACACTGCACGCACCGTTCATAATTATTTACTGTACAATATTTGCGTTTTATGACTCCAAATATGTGTCATTACATTTCATTTTTGGCTTACAAACGAGCTTCGTACCTCTGCGATACAAGTCAGAATGATAAAGCATAACTTGGCGTGACTAGCACCATCGTCACCTATATGATCAGAGAAGTCAGAATAACATAATAAAAAATACAATTTTGAAAATAATTTATTTCCTTATATTTACATAATCTTCTAAAACTAAAACATGCCCCCTTCTTCGAAGTGACATTAATCACTGAAGACGTGTCTGGATTTATTAATACGATTAATCAATTTAATCGATTATTGATGACGATTAATCGATTAGGCCAAAAAAGAATATGTGGGTTTCCGGTTTCCTCTTGTAAAAACTTAGGTCGGTTTTAACTTCTTTTTAAACTTTTTTTTAATTTTCCTAACAACCGGACGCCATTTTGTTTCGTCAGTGCTTCCGTATCCAAACATAAATTTCCCTAATATTGCCTCAAATTTTCATTTTCCACAAACGTTTTCCTCTCAGTGGAAACACTTACAACCGTGATCCAATGTCGGGATTTTGGCGTCCAAAAGCTAGGTAGGGTCGGGAAATAGGAAACCCACATATTTTTTTTTGACCTTACGATAATGAACCGATGGGGCTAAAAATATTATCGCACCTTACACCTGGAAAATAGTGCGCGCACTTTACACCTATTACTATTATAAATATCAAACATATAAAGATGTGTACCATACCTCTTATATTTACCAGTACAATGGATGAATACGTAAGAAATGTTACTAGAAGGTTGGAAGCCTGTTGTGCAACAGATTCGTCATGGACATGTACTGTAAACATAAGAATACAGATGTTACTGGACGACAGCTAGATATAACCTTATTATTGATAGAAATGGTCAGGCTTAATGTAGCTTTGTCTGTAGGAATATCTAGCCATATTGCAGGCTTTATAGATAAAAATACGAGTAGCTCAAATCAGTTAATAATTATGTTGATGTATAATACTGTATGTATATGTTTAGCCTAGCGAGAATATATCATAACCGGAAGCAGGCGCCTTTTCCAAGCAAATTTGAGGGACTGTGGAGGAGTCAGTAAATGACGTACACTTACCATGCGTAGGTCTGTCCACCACAGGTATAGGCGAGGTAGGTGACAAGGGTGGGGTAGCTGAGTGCGTGTTTGGCGTCTGAAACAACAATATACAATACATGTACATATCACAACAGTATATCAAACATAATCCTCTACTTATAGCATTCAAATAGTGGCATTCAGTATCGATTTCAAAACTGTGATAAAGGTGTTTTATACCAAGTGGTGAACACTAACGGGAGGAGAGAAACCGCCCTCCAATAATTTCTTTGAATGACAGGTGAATAACTGTGTAACAAAGCTGTAAAAAATTTTTTTCAACCATGAATTAAGCATTTGTCCATGCTGTACAATAATTTCAATACTTACAGTAACATGACTAAGAACCGTAAAAAAATGTCGATTAAGATGAACAGCTTCGTAAAGTGCAAGTAGGACCATGTTGTTCACACTAATAAATGAAACAGTGTGAGAATAACCAAAGTTTGAGGATGACTACGCCATATGGCACAGCAATATTTGTACTTGAATTTTTGTTTCTGGTTTTATGCACTCAGGTGAAGATATATGTTTGTGATGTTGCTCTGAGTGTGTCGACACCGGGCAGGCTGAAAAGTTTGCTTGACCGCGGTGGGAATCGAACCCCCGACTTTTGCAGGTTTGCCAGTCCAATGCTCTACCAGCTGAGCTACGAGGTCAAGTCGGTTCGAGTGCGTGATATTTCGGAACTCAGTCTAAGTTCCTTCGATATCAGTGTGTGTTTGATGATCTTGAATTCTTGTTTCTGGTGTTGTGCTCTCAGGTAAAGATATATTTGTGATGTTGCTCATGACCACACCGGGCAAGCTTAACTTTTCAGCTTTCCCGATGTGAACACACTCAGAGACACACAAACATAAATGTTTATATTGTAAACCAGCACACTGACAGAAGCATACTGTATAACATCTATTTAACCTTACCCTATATCAAGTGTTCTGCTTTCCTCTGATACAAACATACTACCAACCTAGGAAAACGTTTTTAAACTTAGGTCTTATATACACACGTAACCGCGGGAGTTCATTCAAAACGTCGGAATATACTCTACTCTTATGCTCATCAGACTGACAAAATTTTATATCAGTGTACCCAAAGGATATTTGCGAGTTTAGTAGAATGAAAATGGAAACATACTTCCTACATGTGACTACAGTAATTTAAGACAAAATTATTATCAGGCAAATGGATAATGCAGAAATACCAAACACCTCCTAAAACATCTAGAATCACTTAAACCAATAAGCATGCAATTTTCCAGCAGGAATTTCCCGAAAAAACATTCGCATGTGTATAGCTGCATGCTTCCTCTGCAGCCTCTTCTTTTGCAACATATCAGGGACACATAAAGTGGCAGTGCTTGCAAGGTTTAATGGTATGCTCATAAAAAGAACGATGCTGCGATGCATGGCGCATGGATGCTGAAAAACGGAAGGCCAGCTAAATCCCATTCTTTGCCTTCTCGTCGCCATTCACACACGTACAGTCAGCTAATCACCAACCCCCACCCCCTCCCCCATTCGAATTCACTTAAAAAAATGCCAGTCCGTTTCTATTTTTAAATCAAAACTGCATGGATATTTTTCGGACAGGCTGCAAACGTACACACCGCCGTAGTTGGATTCAGATACAGTCCGACTTCTAAAAACTGGATATTTGCTTTTTTATTGTATTGTTCTTGTTGGGGTTGGTTGTCAATTGGGAAATTCTCCTGTTACCTTCTCCTGTCATTGTTTCTGTAAATATGTAATTGTCCTTTGTTGTAATTGTGACAAATTCATTAAATTAAATTAAATTAAATTGAGAGTAGTATCAATCAGGGCGCTATATCAATGTAGCATACAAAGTCTAGTTTTCCGTACCATTGAACTAAGACTGGATAAAATTCCACCTCTAGGCTCTTCTGCCTTAATTCTATATTTTCTACAATTGAAAAAATACGATTAATAAATGAGTTATTACTGGTATTATTATGAGTGAGATAGTAAAATTTATATTTTATGAGTTTTCATTACCTGTTAAATTCAGTCAAGACATCTGATATGACATAGCCTAAACCCTGCAATTGGAAAGAGAGAGAAGTCTTTAAACGTACAGTAAGGTCGAGTTTTGACCTACCACTGTAAATTCCTTCAAATAAGCCTGACCGAAGAGCACATGAAGAGTTAAACATGCACATGAAGTGTAAGAAGCGATAAGGTTAACTTACGTTTAAAGCCACGTCATCATCAAGGATTGATAACTTTACGATATACGGATTTGACGCCTGAGAAAATACCAAGTAGTCTTAGCCATATAGTGATTTTCATGGAAAAGAGAAGTTAGACAGAATAAAATAACAAAGTAGGGCGCATTAGGGTGAAATGCAATTTTAAGGGTAAATTAAAGTTAAACAAAAGTCTGCAGGGGATCCAATAAAAAAATATACTAAGAAATTATAAAAACTCAGATCACATGTACAGTATATATTAATTTATTCTTGTCTGCTGATTGGTCCATTGTCAAGTGTTCATGCTGAGCTCCATACTCACGCAATGGAATTTTGTTACAAACAAGCATTGTTTAAGAATTTTCCAATGCGTAATACGTATATATCATATATTTCAACCATAGAACTTCGTAACGCTACCGCAGAGCGCAACATTTTTTAAAACCTCGTCCACCGTTTTTTAACATACCTTTAACCTAATTTACTTGATAGAGAGATTTCATACAAAGGTCATACCTCACCTCGTATTTTCTGTAATTTACAAGAAGCGTAAGCAACATGATAGCCTCGTATCCATGTTGTTGTCGAGCCACCGGACTCGCGAGTATCTGAAAATGAAAAGAGAATAGACAATATAATTATAGCTTATGATATCCAGTTCCAGACATACGTGGTGCCTGCGATGCATGTACATATTTCTTTCATATTAAACATGTTTCGTTTATAAGAAAATGGCAGATTTTATCCCGTCACCTGCAGTAAGGTGGAAACATGGTTCTAGGAATTGTTAGTTGGCATTGAGCATTTGTACCCCAATCATTGTCCCATCCCATGTCTACTACAAACAGACTCTTAAACATTCTGTACTACCAGTAATATAATATTATGCAAATTTTCCTGCGGCAATGAGCGAACACGTAATGTATTGTGGGATACTGTTAGAACAGAATACATGTATAAGTAGCAATGATAAAATGTACAAAACTAGCTCAAAATAATTACCTTTACAATGGATTCAAACACGCTGTTTATCATTAGGTACTCCACAATGGTATTTTGACTGACATTATCTGTTGCCTACATAAAAATTACATAAACTTTAAAATACAGTAGTACTTTTATTTATGATATGCACTCAGAAATTACGGTACATAGCAGTAATGTTACATTACAGTTAGTAATATCAGCAGCAACTTCAAAGAGAGATTCTTGAGGCTCACTATATAACAAGAAGAACAAGTACAGTAAAATACATGATCATAATGGACAACATGCCATTTCAAACTGACCTAAATGTACAGTACATATAGGATAGTACGTCAAAGCGTCCAGTCAGATCATAACCAACCTGGATATTCACCCACAAGGATTGCATTCAGATTTTCAATTAAAGCCTGAAAATACACAAATTATACAACTTAAGATACTTTGTATAATATTGGTTTATACTTACAGTATTATTGGACATCAGGAATGATCTAAAAACATTAGAGTGGAGTGTCCTAGGCTGTAATCTTACATGGTGAATGCAAGTATAGTTTCATTTACCATACTAAACTTGATATACAATAATTATTGTACATAATTGTGTGAATTTATATTCTATTAATGTAATGAAAAACATCACAGCTGACCTTCATTTGTGATTCAGCTTCATCAAAGCCAACAAGCATATTTATTATATCAAATCCATAGTCCATCATTTTTTTATGGTAGATGCCACGAACCAAAGTACATAATGTCTGAAGTAAAAAATATTAGTAACAAGTATTAAAAGTGGAGAGAAAAGTAACTGCACATGGACCCCTGAAACACTTCATAAAAATGATTCAGCTGGTTAGAAAATCTGATGACTGAGATGAATGTTAGAAAGGATTGAATTACCTGCAGAGCATTGACAAGTTTTAATGGATAATCATCTTGTAATGCCATACAACATTGAGCAAACAAAAGATTGATATTACCCTGAAATTTAAATAATAAAGTTAATATATACAGCGCATCACATTCAAGGGCGGAATGATTTTCATTTTTTTAAAGGAGGGGTGGAAAAATTTCTGGTGGGGTGCAAGTGGCAGCACTGAGCGAGCTTCGGCAGACCTAGGGGTTAGGCGTAAGGGTTAAAGACTTTCACACAAAATAGGGGGGGCGGGTTAACCCCCCTAAACCCCCCCCCCCAGTAAATCCGCCCATGATCACATTATAAAACAATTTAAATTTCACAAAAAATGTTTTTGCCAATTATTTTTGCCAGATTTACACATATATATATATATATATAGCCACTTAGATACCTACATAAGTGAGTGGCAAGTCAGACAAAAACAAGCATGCAAGCTGGATATTATTAAATGTCATGAGTATACACTACCTTAACAGCCATGAGTTCACTAGGTGACATTCTTTCAATCAAGGCCTCGAGATATTCAGCATTCACCTGATTGAGAAGGTTAATTACAACACTCTACATGACTGTATTGAATTTTCATATTCTATTTGGCAAGTTGAAAAGTTTGAGAAGTACCGTACTGTATATATACTTAGTCTAGGTTGTGTACACAATAGACTTTACTGTTTATTGCAGTACTACTCCCAGGGACGAAACTTGAGGGGGGTGTGGGTGGGGGTGTGACACCCCCCCCCCCAAAGTACAAATCATCTGGATTGGCAGGGCAAATCATCTGGATTGGTAGGGCAATGAAAGATTTTAAATGATAGAATGTAGAGTTATTAAGTAAGTAGCTTCCAGGACTTCCAGAGGGAAATTATTGAATAGAATTTATAGACCTAAATTTTACAGATATTGGTAAAAAATAAGGGTTTCATGCATGTTTAAACAGGAATTTGCCGGAAAAAAATTTTTGATCCTTAAATTAATGGTTTATGTCCGAAAAATTTTTTTCGCCCCTTTTTTGAATGTCCGGAAAAAATTTTCCGACCTCCCCTCCCCCCCTCCCCCCTGACTACTCCCCCCCCACCCCAATGGCCTCATTTCCATGTTTGCCATTTCCATGTTTGTTACAGTATCCTTGTGTTTTGTGTATGATTACATATGTTTCTCTTTGATCTTGAGTCCAATCACAAACTTGTCCTCAACTCTATATCACATGAAAATGAGGTCATTCTGGCAAGAGTGCAACAAACAGTACATTCTATTATGGCACTCAAGTCTCTCTATACTGCCCACTTTATATAGTACCAGTACAAAGGATTACCTTTAACAAGAAAAATTCATGCCAAAAATTGTGATTTTCCACACCTGGGTCTTTGCCCTAAGGTAAAAATTATTGAGATTAAATTTCTTTGTCCTCAGACTCCAGCTTGGATAACAGAAATAATGTAGGGAAATACAGACTTTGTCATTTTCAGAGAGACAGAATATAAGTTTATTTATTGAATAGCATAGGAAGAAATTTGGAATACAGAAGAAAAATATGCACTATTAATGCTTTTTATTCTAAAATTTGTGAGCTCTGTCCTTGATGACTGAAAGTGTCCGACTGTCTGGCAGCAGACAAAGTAACATATATTGCTTAATGAATCAGTTCTGGTTCCGGCCAAACGTTTTTCCAGTTCCGGCCAGATCCAGTTCCGGCTGAAACTTTCCAGTGCACCCCTAGTCCTACATAGGTTTTGACCTACAGACCGTCATCCATGGCGTTCATGCATGGCTACATAATGCGGTCCATGAATTGCCATAAGGCTGATTTACACTATACGCATCTTTTGCCTAAAACTGTGCCATGCAACCTGCTTACAACTGGAGTTGTACTGTGTACATCAATTGCACAACTCGCCCATGTTGTCAACTTGTCATAAGTACTTAAAGGAGCAGTGTCACCTGGTGCGCATCTTTTCTGCGCATAACAACAAACTTTCAGAAATTATCGGAAATTGTTCAGTGCCTAAAATCAGGGAAGAAACGGGGTCACTCCCCCCCCAAAGCTAGATTGGCAAGGTAAATCATCTGGATTGGCAGGGCAATGAAAGATTTAAATGATAGAATGTAGAGTTACTAAGTAGCTTCCAGGGCTTCCAGAGGGAATTGAATAGAATTTATAGACCTAAATTTTACAGATATTGGTAAAAAAATAAGGGTTTCATGCATGTTTTAATAGGAATTTGTTTAACAGGAATTTGTCCCCCCCCCCTCCGCTCGCCAACTTTTTTAGGAGAAATAGTGCCCTTTTTTTTTGGAGAAAAATGATGCTGCAGGGCATCATCAGCTTTCGCAGGGCAATTCTAGCAGACACCCCCTAATTAAAAGGGGCTAGTTTCGCCCCTGCCTAAAATGCTCTCTCAACATCCTCTACGGCAAGCTCTACAGTACGAAACTATACATATTTTGCATATAATTTGTAAATCCGGCTTGCAAATCAGCCATATTGGATTGAAAAAAGTTTGCGTGCGCAGAAAAGATGTGCACCAGGTGACACTGCTCCTTTAAATGGCCTTATCTACTTGCCACATGTTAGTTTTGCAATCTACTGACTATCTACAACTGACTATCTACAGATTATCTACAGATTATCTACTGCAAAACAGGAAAGCAATCTTGATGTTTAATGAACCATTGAATTCTAACTGACTGTAAGTAAATGGAAAGCATTTTGAAAATTTATTTCGACGTTTAGACTAAACTATAGTCATCATCAGGAAATGAATGATTGTAAGTAATGGATTTTCTGTTATTTATGCATTTGTCCTGCAGCAAGGAAACACATGACAGCATTCAAACAAAGGTCTTTTTATTATAAAATTGTAGGAAAACATAAAAATTGTGTCCCCCCCCCCCCCAATGCACCTATCAACGTTAATGGGGGGGTCGGGCATATGTGGGGTATTTGATCATCAATTGCATCCCCACCCCAGGGATTTTGATTTTAATAGAGTTTTGGTCCCGAGTTAGGGCAATTTGAACCGAATGACTTTTATTAATATAGTATTTATTGCAATTTATTGCAAAATGTTGGGGTATTTGACCAATATTTATTGCCCGACAGTGGGGCATTTGATTGAAAATTTGTGCCGAAATCAAAGTGTAACATACCGACCCCATTGAGACTTAACATTGATAGGTACATAACCAGTACATATAGCACACTATAGTCTTATACTATACCTGTAACAAACTATCATAGATTCCAACCAATTTCTCTTTAAGTTTCAGCCTGTTTGGCGACGTTGGTGGTGTCGTTGCACTCATCTTCGTATTTTTCTCAACAACTCTGACTTGTTTCAATGAGTTGATAGGTCTGTCAAATCTGCTCAAATTTTGGCTCGAAAAACTTGCTGCCGACGCGACACTCGCATACATTATTTCACCACAGTCGAGAATGAAATGTCAGGCAACATTATAAAGTGAAAATTCCCACAATGGGATTATTTTTAAAAAGTTCTAGCAATATTTTTGCTCTAAATTATATTACTTCTGTTTTTTTGTTCCCATTACGACTATTTACGATATCTGCCGATGCGCTCCGATGCTGTCGCTTCTTCATCTCTGATCTCACATAAAAAACTGGATTCTATTTAACTCCAGAAATGCCACCACTGTATCTTGCCTCCCAATACACGAGTGCCATATATAATAAAATGAATTACCATTATTTTCTCACTGATATTAAACTGTGTTGGTGTTGTGTACTCAGGTGAATATGATGTTTTTGATGTTACTCTGAGTGAGTATATCCACACCGGACAAACTTGAAAAATATGACCTGACCACGTAGCTCAGTTGGCAGAGCATTGGGCTAGTATTCCAAAGGTCGTAGGTTCGATTCCCACCGTGGCCAGGCATATTTTTCAAGTTTGTCCGGTGTGGATAATGGATATACACTCATTTTTTTAGCTTTAATTTAAGCCTAAGTTTGTTTGTTTACGTAGTATATTGGTGGCTAAAATGTTCGTTATCCAAACACGAAATTATATACTAAAAAGTAAAATGCGTATAAAATTCTTCAGTATTTTTTAGTATTTTACCGAAATGGCATGTGATAAAAACCAAACATACTTGCAGGTTCGGTGAGTCCGGGATTGGACGCATCCCTGGTGGCTGGAAGTTTCCCGAACTCACCTCGCTTCGCTCGGTGAGTTCGGGAAACTTCCAGCCACCCCGGTGCGTCCAATCCCGGACTCACCTCCCTGCAAGTATGTTTGTTATAGAGTAACATCAAAAACATATTAAACTGCCACAATCTGTTGCATGATATTTAATACTTAATACTACCATTCTACAGTATAGCGTTCAAAAAGACAACGCAGCTGTACCAGGCACAAGGCAGAAAGTAATGAAAATTGTATTGTTTATATACAGTATATATTTCATTATTTACAGAATATAACTTACTAAAATAATATTCCTTAATAAATTCATTTATGTACAGTATTCAGGTCAATTCGTTATTTCTTTGACTGCATTTTTGCGGACTCTGGGAATGGGCCAGTCACCCATGACACATTGTGGTCCGTGCTTAGGTTTGAACATGAACGCGCATGTCTGAATTCATTCATTCATTCAAGCGAAACTATGACTGCGGGATCGTTTATGTCCAAATGCGCCATCCGCCGTGGGTATTTCCAAAAAATTACCATTCGAAACGATGTTCGTGCTTTTCTGTTCAGAATACGATTTTCTATGGATGCCTTTGGATATGGGCGCCGGGGATAGAGTTATGCGAGTAATATCTGCTGAACTTGCAGAGCGTGCTCTATGTGGGATTTCCTCATCAGAAAGAGCCCTGCTAAATCTATTAAAGGCATCGCGTAACGGATCCATGATACTCCCCGAGCGACTCCGCTGGCGTCTTCGTTCCGCTGGAAATTTCCACTTGTAAACCAATCGGGAAGCTTCGTCAAACGCCGTTCGTACACTGTCGTAATTGTTCGCGGCCGAGGTTCGGAAAACAGGTTTCCCAAGATCGTTTAGGAATTGATTCGCTTCTGAACCGGAAATTCGTCGTTGTTTTTCCATATCTGTCTGGTTGCTAACAATGACAATGGGCGTTTTCTTTTCGTTTTTTGTCTGTGATATAATTGAGGAGAGCCTAGCGACTTCATACAAGCTCCAATAATCTGTGATTGAAAAGACCAGGATGAAGCCATCCGCCCATTTAATGTGATCTATTATCTTGTCTTCCGCTGACTGCAAAGAATGACGAAACATTGAGTCAGTTCTCCCCAAATATTTCTTACAAATCCTTGAAAACTTACAATTTACCCATGCAAAATTCCTACTGTGATCACAGAAACTTTGATGGTGTAACCCAGCTTTTAAACTATTGAACATTGTGCGACCAGTAACAAATACATAATAGAGCTAGAGGTTCAGATTTGACTTCCACTGCCGTTACCGCCGGTTAAGGGATCATGCATCATTCAGTATCATCATTGACCAATCAGATGCGTTTGAGATATCTGATTAACCAATCAGACGCGTGCCAACCAGTGTGAGCTAGGTAATGGTAGTGGAAGTCAAATGTGAACCTCGCTAATAACAGATGTAAAACTTAGAAATAACTTAGTGAATAATGTCTACTTACACAAGTGTCGAAAATTTCCACCACCACTTTCTCTTCATCGATTTCTATTTCTGTTGAAGCGTGGGTTTCTTAAAGATAGATAGGAGAGTCAACTTCATCTACAGAAGTAGCTAGAACTAATAGAAGTAGCTATAACCTCATCGGCTAACACTAAAACCAGACCTGAAATGTTGATACTGAGTCAGATATTCGTCTGTTGATATTCAAATTACACGTGTGGCCAAGGGGTTTGGTGTGGGGTGGGGGCAAGGGAAAGTGCCCCCAAATACATCTAGAACTTTTCTAGTGAAAATTAATGTTGAAATTCGGTCAGGGGGATGTCTGGAATAAAGATAAAAAAATTTTTTTCATTGTTATGATTTGTCGTCAGAACTCGTCTCAGAAGGTGAGAAATCTGATCCTAGAAATTCAAAATTTCCCCGGATCGCTCTAACTTAGACCCTAGCTACGCCATGCACAGCAACTGTATATAACTATAAATGAACAAACTATCTATTTGACTGATTGCTGTAAGTGTTCTCCATTTCATTGGTAGTATTTGGGAACTTTAGATTGCTTACTAAAGTGAATATTTACTGACCAACACTACTTTGATATTCTCCAATAAAACGTTTTGTCAAATACCGCACGACCAAGGCTGAAAAGAAATAACATCAAAAATTAACATCACGTTAACAAACTTTGTGTTTTAAAGACGTTCTGGTGGTTCGATCATGCCCCAAGGCTTGACTTTAATTTAAGAGCTCCAGTAATTCTTTGCTCGAAAACTTGAGTGAATTTGAACTTATTTCTTCAAAAGATTGATTAGGAGTTTGCTCATAAATTTGAGTAACTGTACTAAAAATTTGGAGTCACTGTGACCCTGTGGCGGGTACATTACTTCGCTAAGTTTTTTAGTCAAAATACTCAGCCTCAGGGATGTAAAATTATTGTAGACAAAAAACTAAATTATTCAAGCCAGGCCCATGCAGAAAACTATGCATGCAGTACTATGGCTCGAGATATTAAAAAAGGACAATGGATCAGTCTATTGATGTCAGTAACAGAGTAGGGGTGCTCTTCACAAGCCGTATGTCACATGACCATACGCATGTCATTAACACTATTTGTACTGCTAAGGCTGAAAAACAACTTTTCCATCGTTACAGTTATTATTATAAAGGAATTATTTATCGTTCATCGTCGTAATTCAGCATTGTATACTACGTAAGCACTGGCTATACTATACAGGGATTCTGAAACCCTACTGCGATGAGCACCATTCCGAAAAAAACATTAATTATAATCTTATTATTATTCAAAACAACAGTGTGACTTGATTTTGATTTAAAAGAGTTCATAAAAAATTGCGTCAAATAATGCTTATATAACCACAGGAGTTGGTTGGATTAGGTCGAGGAATTCGCCTTATAAAGCATGCGCATCATTATGATGTCTTCTCCCTAGAGGAGTAAGAGCCAATTCTTCATTGATCATTGTTACTATAACGGGAGCTCGAGTTTGGCCGACTCAGTCGTATGAAACCGGTGCCAAGTGGCATGACAATAGTTTAGTCAACCACATGTTTATATATTTTGGCTAACATAGCTCATATCACAGCTCATATCAACTGTAGCTTTAGTATTGGCAAATTCACCTTCTGTGTTTGTTTACATAACTTGTTTACATATACTGCACACTCCCAGAATTGGAAACAGCACTTAGTAATCCCATCAACCAAAATGTTAATTTAATGAATATAATGGAGAAAATATGTACTTGCATGCAAGAGTCATGTCTTTCTTAACAAATTTACTGTACATGAACAACAGAATAAGTATACAGTATGTCTATAATAAGCAAAATTATAATTAATGTGGTTTGAGAGAGTGTTCTGTTATAACATCTTCTGACATACAGTAAGTAAATATAACCATACTGCATGTATATATGGACATACTGTAAAAAGCATGGATTAGGGTTAGGCTTTAAGACCGGCGCACACTAGAGCTATGTGCTTAGCAAAATGTCATTCGTGACTGTTGGCGTAAGGAGATAGCTCTCGTGTGCGGGCGATTTACGAACGACTTTTGTCATTCGTGCCACTTACGCCAAATATCTAACATGTTTGATAATTTCTGCCTCGCGTGCCAAAATCTTTCCGTGTGCGGCGAACGAAAGCTATCTGCTTACGGATTGTCGTACCAGCGCATGCGTAGTATACGAAAGTAAACATCCAAGATGGCGGCGCAAAATGAATTGCTGGCCGAGGCAATTTTAGAGGACAAACTTGTCGAACTTTGGCCTGAATATAAATGTTTATACGATGTGAGTTCTGCAGATTTTAGAAATAGGGACAAAAGGGAATGTGCGGTGAAAGAAATAGCCAGTAAGTTTGTCCTCTAAAATTGCCTCGGCCAGCAATTCATTTTGCGCCGCCATCTTGGATGTTTACTTTCGTATACTACGCATGCGCTGTTACGACAATCCGTAAGCAGATAGCTTTCGTTCGCCGCACACGGAAATATTTTGGCACGCGAGGCAGAAATTATCAAACATGTTAGATATTTGGCGTAAGTGGCACGAATGACAAAAGTCGTTCGTAAATCGCCCGCACACGAGAGCTATCTCCTTACGCCAACAGTCACGAATGACATTTTGCTAAGCACATAGCTCTAGTGTGCGCCGGCCTTTATGCCATGGGCATGGGTGTTTGGTATAACCTTATTTAATTCTGCTCCATGACTATATAGAATGCGGTTATTTATGAAAACTGCATGCATGAAAAAGTTATACATGTTGACGTCTGAATATAAAACCTACATAACCAGCCTGTGAAATATATAAATTGGCACAATTTATGCTCTACCATGAAGTTATTTAGCGACTGTTTTATACAATTATATTTTATTTGCCGTGGAAAGTGTTAACTGAAAATCTTAACCTTTCAGATTCTAACGGAGTAACGCTATTATCGCCGAGCTACATTGCAGTTTGACCTTTGGCGTAGTCTATAGACTATTTATCATATAGCCTTTTTTTCAAATAGCTGTTCTGCTAACATTATTGAACATAATTGCAATATTATCCTACATGATCTGTTACCTATTGAAAAATAGAACCAACTATAGTCTACAGTTGAATATATTCTAAAATGAAAGTTTTCTTAGCATATAGGTAGTAATAGACTTCTTTATTGAATGAGCATTGTGGGCGGTCTCGCTGAATGGCCGCAGATGCTACATTGCAACATAGTCATAGTGGTATTGATTTATGGTCGGAGAATAAAAGCTTCAAAATAATTAGTTATAAAATTGTTGAAGTGTAATACAAGAAACCTAAAATATTAACCACCAAATTTTATAGTACATAGTTGGCCAATGCTGGCGAAGAACAATTTAGTGCAAATGAGTGTACTTGCCTGATTTGCCAACCCCCGATTTTCCCATAATTGCAATCTTGATCTTTCGTTGACTTCGCGAGAAGGTCTTATTCCGTTTTTCCAGCTCTGGCGAGACAGTGACAAACACGGCAGGCATATTCCCGTTCGATGGCTTACTGTTGCGTCGTTTCAAACTGTCCATATCGAAAAACATGCTAAAGGCATTGCCTGTACAAGAGACAGAAGAGAATCAGCGCGACGTCGCTAAGCTATTGTGTTTTAAACTATTCTGACCCACGATCGGAACTCGGGAGGTTAATTAAACTCAGATTAAATCACGTTTGCGAGCCATGTGCTTGTTAATTATCGTCTGGATAGCACAGCTTAAATTTTTTAAAAATTTGGACAAGCAGGGGAAAAAAGTAATCTTAATAAAATTGAACCATGCTGGGATATACTATAAAAAGTCTTTTAAAAGGGAGTCATTTTTGACAAATTATGGAGAACAGAGGTAATTGATACAGTATAAAAAAATAGAACACTTGAAACTTGTTAAAACGCCAGTTGACATGGATATAGAGTTATTAGAGTCATATGTTTTATATTCGATGATCAATTAATAAAAATGCAATGGTTGTTTGGGGGCGGTTGTGTTTAAAGGTTTGATAACGAATACAAAGGATAACCATAAATAAACCGTAAATACAACGAAAGAGCAAATTTAATGATATTGTGGGTGCAGCTCGATTGTTCTAGGAATTTTTTAGTTCAGGGGCGGGGGCGGTTGTTTAATTAAAGATGGATTAGGGCTAATCTTGGATTAAAATATAATCGGCTTTGGTTTATAATCGCTGAGAAAATTTGTGGAAAAAATAGCAAACTTTCGACATTCGGGATGAAGGAAAGTTTACTGAAGGCTTTATAATGTTATTTTTACCCTAGTAAAGTCCAAGCTTTCCAACAACCCACGGCCGTTGTTTAAATTCCCTTTTCGCTATAATTTTTTATATGGTTATAGTTAGATTTAAATCAAATGTACTCAATATAATCCCGCTACTGCCCGCAAACTCTATAGTCAAACTTCAGTTATATATAGAACGAAAAAAAACTACAATATAGAAAGAAAACAAACTACAAAGATCTACAAAGCCTCTGCGGAGGAGAGTGGGACGTTTTTATGAAATGCGTCAATCGCACCACATGAATATTAAAGTATAATTCCAATAATTTTTAAATCTCTTTGACGCCATTCCATGACGTCATGATGATGTAAAACATACAATTCATATGTACAAAAATATGAAGAGGACGGTATATAGACTGTTTAATTTCCGAAAAGGAAATTACACTGTACATATATTTCTCCACCTCATTCATTATACGTAAAATATGACGTTACAATTAATAAAAACTAATAAAATCTTTTGGACTTCCCCCTCTGCCTAAAAATTGAGACGTGTCTCATCCTGACACAAGTTAGAGTACGCTCGTTAGCATGCAAGTGATATGCCAACCACCAAACTTGAGAACGGGTATTCTCCGGACACGAAGTTGCTCTTGACCATAAATTGACGAGCACCAAACTACATAAGGAATTCATGGTCATAAATTCCAGCCGAATTTGAAAGGACTGCGTATTTTGTTGTTCATTATTTATTTAATACAGCTGATTCAGTGATTGTCTACAACCTTTGACGTTGTTGTCAATGGCTCTGAATAAGCCGTGTTCGTAAATGAAAAACAGGCTTTGAAGTTTGCCTTCTCCTATTCTAGCATCTTCCTATGTTTTCCTTAATCATTGATATTTCAGCCAGCATCTCGCAAATAACACAACAATTAACTCTTTGACCCCCTCTTAACCCCGTCTGTATAACACATTCGCTATGCCTTCATTTTGTTATTGTATTGTGCGCTTAGATTTCTCAGGAGATTTGTTGTTTTATCCTATCATTCTATACGATCCTGGGACTGCCTACAAACTTTATCTTTGAAACTAAATATACAAGAACGTTCAAGAACGCATAGAAATATCCGGAATTAGCCATTCCGAAGTTGACGAGTGGACTGGGGACGAGTGTTAAAAAGTGCCCAAATTAAGAAATGAACCAAATCACTAAAAAGACCACCTCAAAATTAGTAAGTATACAAAGTTTGAAGACGTTTACATGAATATCCTTCGAATAATAAGCTTTCGAAAATCGTGATATTTACTATGAAATGTATTGTGATTTTTGTTTTTGGGACGCGCGTCCCCAAAACAATCTTTTAATCAGTAATTTCACAATTTTCGAAAGCTTATTATTCGAAGGGTATTCATGTAAACGTCTTCAAACTTTGTATACTTACTAATTTTGAGGTGTTCTTTTTAGTGATTTGGTTCATTTCTTAATTTGGGCACTTTTTAACACTCGTCCCCAGTCCACTCATGAACTTCGGAATGGCTAATTCATATTGTCGAGAGATTTATCAATTTGGGGTTTTACTTGCCAGCACAATGATTTAATGCATGCATGCGCAGAAAGATAAAGGTATCACGACTCATAACATTCATAACTCTACTCATTCACATGCATCAGAAGAAAATATGGAAATCGCAGAATTGCTGATAACGGGCCTATGTCTAAAATGTTTTATGTCAGAACAGTGTTTCTAAAATGCAGGACTCAGTCCACCAAATACCACAGGTTTTTTCCCCAATACTCGCTACGTTCCAGTATAAAATTAACACTGGATTTGACATTACAATTGTATAAATAGGTTAGGTGAAGAAGAACAGAAAACAATTGATACAAGCAAGCTGTATAGGCAGAACGTGGCAGAAACCCCCCCCCTCTTCACTTCGTCTTTTGGTTCGGTTTATTTAGCATTTTGTTCACATTTTTCAGACGATATCGTCATGTAAAAGTACGTCGGATACATCCAAATATGGAGTAGAACAATCTTGGGAAGGTTGGCTCAGATTTCACTTCCACTTGGTGATGAAAGAGAATGATCCTTTTATCCAAAATCCAAGTATTCAATTTAGTGCGTGGCGGCTACTTAAAGCTATGCATTTGAAAACTACTCGACAGCAACGCGTCGTTGATAAGATCGTTTGCATTTCCCTCCATTGTCGCCATTTTGATCAAAGTCACGTGAAGTAACTGTGGGTTCTCATTGGCTGGTTAATTCAAGCATGAGCTCAGCACCAACACAGAGGCACCAAGCTCGCAACCGAGCTCGCAACATCCTCAGACGTTGAGATTTTTTCCTTGCGAGGTGAAAAATATCAAACACGATAGATAAAACACGATCCTCACGAGAACTACGCGCACACAAGAGAAACATACTAAGCTATATTTATCTCTAGTTTCTCTCGTGTTGGGGATAAAATCAGGCATTAATAAAGTTAGATCAAGTTTGGTGATAATGTATTTTCGACCACTTCCAGTTGGTTCGATTAAAGATAACCGATGTTTGCTTGTTTTCCACGATTGTTTTACTCCATATTTGGGGGAATCGTATTTTCCTGGCGATAAAATCTGAACCACGCATTCAAAACTGTACCAGCTCTGGGTCGGTACGGATCGGTTGTGTTAAGACAATAATATATGTTTATTTTTCTAAACTAAAGAGTATAAACACTGGTCACTTTTTGTTTTTAGAAAACCAGTCCCAAAACGTGTCGAAACTGAAGCTTCGAACTGTTCTCCCTACAGGCCCACTGAGGCCATTAGGCATTATTAGGTTTAGTGTTGATTTTTGTCCGGCTGATTTCATCATCGCATATCATTAAGAGCGCTAAGCTCTAAGCCACTTACACAAAATGTTGTTCTAAACCGGAGGAAAGAAAATACCCCAGGAAACCTGTAGTAATTCACGTTTTGGCAGACTTCACAGAAAACACTCTTCTCGTATGCGGTTGGGGCGAATACAATGAAAAATAAACGCAATTTTACCGAGTCAACAACTGTGACTTATTTTGATATATCACAGGCGACATATATAGCTTTATCGAAGCGCTCGGTATAAAAAAGTGAAGCCAAAAACCGACGGCGATGGCGGATTTTGACGTTTGCTGACGCCACTGGTTCCAGTTGCCCATGGTAGCAACCAGTGCTAGTGTACAACTCTGTGGGCCATGCGCACAGAGGCCCGTAAACCGAATCAAATGCAATCAATGTCTTTCAGTATCAGAATTATCAACCTCGGATTAGTTTCATAATTCTAACGAAGCTCTTACCATATAAGCCCAACATACCGTTCACCTGTTGACTGGACCGTTAGGCTAACCCCTTAATGACGTTGTTGTACAATTGTTCATATTGTTGAAACGAAAGTTCCCAAAACATTTGTACAGTCCAATATTCTAATAATAACTCGAATCGTAATTCGATGACCGACAATAGATTACGACTATGGCAATGCAAAGACTAGCAAGCAAATTAGCAGAGTTCACCGATTCTATGCAAGCAGGACTCTGAAGTGATTCAAAACAAAAGTTTGGATTTGAGCACAAACTCCAAATCGGGATATCAAGCTAGTATATGGAATAAAAAAACAGACTGCATAAATACTGCTCGACGGCAAATCATAGACTACAGAGTAGAGTAAATTGTCAGTGCAATGCACGAGTGCCCGCAGTAAAGCGAGTCGTAGCTCAGCATGGAATGACAAAATGGTAGATAAACTATTTGACTCAAATCATAGTATGCATGGATTGATAAATACAGACATGAAGAAAATTACATGTCGGTCTAACCTTTGCTGCCGCTTCGTTTTTCCTTCTTCATATTTTCGCTTTGTTGCCCTTGAACACTTGTTGTCTCGCTCTTGACAGACCCTTGGTATGATAAATTTGCCCTGTTGTGCATCTGTACTTATTCACAAGTCTTTAATGACGTATACCGCGCCAATGACGACCACACAAAAACAACTCTCGCTTGGAAACGTTCAATGACGCAAGCACATCAACAAGAGAGATTTCACAGATGCTTGTGTATTTAGCCCACGAACAACAACCCTGTTTAATTTAACGACGCATAGTCTGTGTCTTAAAAGTTAAAATTGGCAAAAAATCAATCGAAAACATGCGGGGGGAGGGGATTAACTACTCCAGCGGAAAAACAACCACGTTTTATCTTAAAAGGATTTTCGCTCATGCAAGTGAAGAGGCACTTGAAAAAACGAATAATAATCTCAAATAAGCCGCATCTCATTGCTGATTGTGTAATTTCAAAATGGCTTCCTGAAGACAGATATGTCCGGATGGCTGAAAATTAGCTGATAGATGACTACACAATTCATTAAATTAAATTAATTTCGCCTCTAACTATTTTGCTGAATAAATTAACTATGACATTGAAAACACCTCACGTATGGTTGAGATTTGGGCTCCTGCTAAGCTCCTATAGCTAATGTTCGAAGACAATATATCACGATGTTTTGATGTCAATGTTAACAAACATATGCAGAGAACAGAAACACGGCTGTTCGTTTTCCCACATTCATTTGTGAAAAGTCGAACATGGAACAAACGTTTTCGTTAGCGCATTAATTTGAAGGTTGTTCGCCGAAGTTTATTATAAGGTTCCGTGCGCTTGTTCTCAACTTGTTGACAAGTTGCTCCAGATCTGGCACACGACTTGTTACAAGGCCGTACAAGTATCAGATATTGTTGGCAACAAAATGTTGTGTACGCGTTTATTTTGGCAGATCATTGCAGTTAACTTCCTGCATAGGGCTAGAATTATGTACAGCATATTAAACCCCTGAATATAATCTCCCAATCCGAATTTTTGTACGTGGGGGTGTGTTGATCATCCTCACTGGAGCTCAGCTGAATTACGAATTAGGACGTAGCGAGTCGAAGGGTTTCTATAAGGGCGCCTCTGCATGCAGGGAGCCACATTATGACTCATGTCTGACCACGGAGCACAGTTATATGGTGGAAAGGTCAGTTTGGGGCTTATCCCAACACACCCTGTCAACATTCTCTGTGGGAGAAAACTCGCGACTTTCGGTAAAGCGTTGACTGACTCTTCACATCAGTGTCCCGCGTTTGTAGAGAATCAAACCCATGATCTCTGAGGTGAAATTTAATGCGCTTATTCTGACGATTGCCTCACCACGAAGCCCCTCCCCAAGTATTTATAAAAGGGATTTCTACAACATTGCCCATTACATATACTAGGAAATACCACTCCAGTGTAACCCATTGTGCTTATGTTATCGACAAGAATAACAAAGATAAAACGTGAGAATTTAGAATCCAAAGCATTCCAAGAAGAAAAGTTTAAAAGTTTCCGTCTCCACTTGACTGAATAGTTTCTACACTTGTTGAATGAATGCATGGAACTGCATGTTGACGATTTTCAAAGCAAAAATCAGTTTCTCAGAATAATCTTTTTCCAAACATTAATGTAAAGTCTAGTGAACGTTAATGCAAACACAAAATCCTAACCGTATATAAGTTGCGGAGAAAAATGCTTATTACTGAATTAAGAACGAATATAACAGCCCAAAAGCAACATATACGAGCGCTAATGACACCAGAATAATTTTGAACATGTTGGTGATTTTTCTGAAGGTACTGACGTGATTTATAGGGATTCAGTAACTCGGGGGGAATTTCTAACATGCAATTAATGATAACTCATTATCCACTGCATCTGATGACTATGATATATGTGCTGATAAGCTCGCAATACAGGACGTGATCCGCCGCACCACTCGAGTCTGTTGCTTTAGTTTATATCTATAGACACTTTCCAGACCATACTCGTCTCACAATAAGCAATATGAAGAGAGTCATCATATTTTAAAAAGGCCTAAAATAAACAGGACATACGCTGCAGCGTATATGGTCTATACAGTAGAGTACACTCACCTTGGGTACTCCTCCCGAGTGGATCAATATGGGATGATTCTCCCATTCCAAAATGATTTTCTCATTCGAAAATAATTGCGTATGCAGATCAGACGACTAGTATACATTTAGTAGTAGTTAATGCAAGTGCCTTCACCTACACGACCGGGTTCATTCTCAGTGGTTCATTCTAGACTTGCTCCAAGTCTCCAGGTTGATTCCTGCTATGTACTGGACTGCTGGTTGTATTTTGCGTCAATTACATGCAAGAAGGTGCTTTTTGAGATTTACCGTCTACCAAATTGGCCCTTACTACACCTCCAATTAAGCAAAACAGTTTAGAGCAAAAAGAGCTATCCACTTGTATCCAATGTCTGTGTATATAAAGTGAGTTTAGTAATTCCTAAATTAATCTTGTACATGTACTCCTGGAGGTATTGTACAATTCAGACCTTAGGGCTAAATATGAAAATAGATATCCGGTTTTCAGCAGTTTGTCGTTCTAGGACGACACACCTCCATATCTATTTTCTGGCTCTCAGCCACATGTTAAAATTGCTTTAATTGCAAGTAATTATATCAGTGCCATATCAGTCATCGAACTTTAGCCTTTTAATATTTGACATCGTCATTCGCGTTTTTGTAAAAGGAATCAAAGAAACAATTATTCTGTGAACACTAAACTTATACCTGTGCTCAATTTATCAAATCTTGAATTCAAGAATGGCTCGTTAATAACGGCGGCAGTAACTTGACAAGAGCAAAGTGCAATTAATTAAATTAATTAGCACGTCTAATTAAATTCATGCAATTAAAGAAGATCCCGAATTTATTTAATTACACTGTGATGTACACTTTAAAGAGCATTTGTCACGCGATGTTTACGTTTCCTGCAATACTCTCAATGACAATGGATATAATTTTGCCGTTTCGGTATCAGAATAATATCAAGTCAATACCAAGACCATGTAATGTTACACCAGGCAATTGTTGCTGCAACTTGCAACTTTCTGACCTATATATATAGAGCCATCTTATTTATTTAAAAAGTAGTCCAGGGAAATTGCCGGAGCATGGCCATGTTTCATCCTATCACTTTCATATTTTATCCCTAAGAGTAAGAAAGTGTCGGCAGAGTAGAATGCGGGCCATATTAGTTTCTTAAACTACATTTTAAAAGCATGGCCCTAGGTCAGAAGTTGTATTCCAAGGAATTCCAGCAAAAGATAAGCAGTCTGGCATTCAGTAGCATTTGGAAATTTAAAATTTTGCGGATTTGGTAATTTATCTAAATTGCTTAAACATATTTTGAATTTTCCAGCTGGCTCCAAAAGATGTAAAATACGGATAGAGGATACAAATTTGCATTAGATGACGCTATACTCGCTCCAGCGCGGTCAAGCTGGAAAATTGCTTTACCCGATGCGGTGGAAATCAAACGCTCTACCAACCGAGCTATAAGAGGTCAAGTCTGTTCGGTAGCGTCATCTGAATTCTAACGCCACAATCATCAGCCTGTTTTTCAAACCAATGGCAATCAAGCTTAATAATTCTCTGCATGCCGGACTACGTAGTTATTAAAATGATTCGCAGAAAAGTACTTGAAAGGGAATACATCCGTTGATTAGGACGAAAACCCTTACATAAAAATTCCTCGCACAGCACGCTTAGTTTTGCTCGAAAGTTCTATATTAATATTTTTTCAGTAGTTAAATCCTTCAGACAACTTTCCGAATATCTAATACTGCCTTAATCTTTGTAACTTTGTTGAACCATAACTTTGTTTACAAACTGTCCACGAGTACATGCAATCAACGGTATGAAAGTATGAGAACTTTAGGGGGCCAACTTTGGCAGGTCTATTCTGAGACACGCAATAATAAAACTATCAATCAGGTCTTCTAGTCACTACTACTGACGAAACATCGCAAAATAATTGAACTTGTTGGATATTTTGGGGCAGTTTCTCATACTTTTAGTGTCAATTAGCATGCGTTGAATATATAGATTGCTACAAATAGATTGCTACAAACAGAGTGCTACAAATAGATTGCTACAACGCCAAAGGCGATGTATACGAGTGATAATTATTATAGGCGGTGAATGAGAATTGAAGGTTTTGAAGTACGGGTCGATGTGTTCGAGTACTAAACAAATTACTACGATTTGCAAGTTCTTGAAAACTCGATTAGATTCGCGTGCTTTAAAGTGGCTTTAGTGCCTTTGAAGTACAGTATCACTTCCAAGTCGTACTAACGCTCCAGTTACACGATACCGGATTTGCATCGGAGCGAATCGAGCGACATCAACTAAGACGCTTTCGGCCTCTTACATCTTTTCATGTTTGACGTTTTTGACTAATTCATGTTATATTATCATAATTTTGACTGCTAAACTCCCCTTGAAACTGTAAAATTTGATGTCACTCCGATGCGAATCTGGTATCGTGTAACTGGGGCCTAAATTCTAAGTCGCGAGAATATCGGATTTGAACTTGTGATTTCCTCAGTTAATAATATGCGAGTTCAAATCCCCGCTTTATTCAACTTTATGTTGACAACGCAGTGTTGGTTTTTTTGTCATGAATATATTGTATCATGTTTCCCTCAATTCCCCGATGACGGCTCTGAAAGTTCATCGGGTTTAACATCAGTGAATCAGCGATAAAATGACCTGTTGATTAACAGTTAATTAAACAGTTAGTTTTTTTAACGTTTTTAGTCCTTTTTATAAAGCGTTTTACAGATATTAAACGAAGTCTGTTGCTTATGATATGCGGAAAGCTCTGTGAAGGAGGGAGACTCCGTACTATTGTTTCATGGGCACTCAAGCAAATTCCGGAAATACTAATGGCAAAAAAGAAGAGTAAAACGGATTTTTTTCAAGGCACGTAGAAGACACTTTTCACCTTGAATAACTCGACAATTTACACTACGTCTGCACACGTCATTGCAGTAGTACAAGGTTAATCACATATTTCATCGCATGCATTTGGATAACCATATACTACCAAAACCATGTATGCTACTAGCTCCCCTCAACAAAAACGTGCTGCGTTTTAGTGACATTACGTTCAGGAATGACATTCCTTGTAGGAAATAGAATCTCTACACTGAAAAAATAGATTGCTTAAACAACCAGTGAATTGTTATCTCAGATTCAAAATGAATCTGAAACAACCAATTTAGGACAAAATTTATAAACATATGTAGAGTTTGAATTTAGAATGTTTGCCTTGAAGTTTTTTTCAGCCAGAAATAAGCTCACATCTCAGGAGATGAGCAAACAAACGTGTGTTTATCACAAATGACATGCGTTCAGACTAATAATCTTTAAATATATATATTATATATATATATACTTAAGCCATCTTGGACGTATCACAAATTTTATCTCAGATAGTAGCATAGGAAAATATTTATATTACATGCTCTTGTAAATAATAAATGGGACAAGTTTTAACCAAAACCTATCGGATTGCCTATCAAAACCATTTTATATAGTTTAATAATTCTTGTTCAATTTCACTACATTTGACAACTAGTCTTTTGCCACAGCTTTAATAATCACATTGACGACATAACAAGACTTTTAAGAGCACATTATTAATCCAGGTGATTCATAACATGTGTGGACAATTGGGTAATTAAGAACATGTCTGTAGAATGCCAAAACATGCATGATTGTATATATCTATCGCTACTTCAAGTTTCATGCCACTTTTGTGACAATCTTCAGGCAATTAAATTCAACTGTTCTGAATTCAGAACTGAATCTAATCTTCAGGCAACTGTTCTTCTTTCTTATTCAGTTCAATGTTTGCAAACATTACAAACATTGCTTGCCATTAATTGGCAGACCCTGTATATCTATTCATGTGCAGGCCAAGATTATGTACGGTACAGTAAAACGGTTGAATATTATGGCCCATTTCACACACAAGATATAAAATTTTTAATACGAAATATATTCCTTATCTCAATGTTTTGCTTGTTTCGTTTTTCGTGTCCTGCGTAGGTTTTCTCCACTGCATAATGGCAACACCCAACACGACAGAAATAACGGTGAATCCTTGTGCGATAACTCGTAACCGCATCATGTGTTGCTGAGTCCGAGAGTTTCCTCTTTGGAAAGAAATTAGGCCATAGGTTAAAGCTGCAACTGTGCCAGCAAGACCTATATGATGATCATTGAAAATTATTACGGTGAATCGAGGCCAGATGAGGGATCCCACAGCAAATTATGTCAGCATGCACTAATTGATGAGGTACTGTGTACCCACATGAAAAGAATTTCAAAGGACACTTTCTACCAAAGTGACCAATAAGAATTTCAGATTTGGGTATATAAAAAATTGCAAGGGTAGCATTGACCCAGTGAGATCACCCATCGGTGAGGATCAGACTCCAGGTGTACAGGTTTGATTTCTTTGCATATTTTTAATTAAATATACAAAATCTCTTCCACACAATTTCAAAACCTTCCAGTCAGAGCATTTCCAGTCTGACTTTGTTATAATCTGTCTAATGCTAGATTGTCATAAAGACGGTGCTAACACTTTCTGCTTGAAATATAAATCAGCTGGCTTGAGACATATTAAGACAATAAAGTAAGGTGTATTTGCAGAAGTAATAAATTTATCTATAAATATACACACCAAATGGAACAAAAGGATTCTCCTTGCACTTTCGCCACATTTTCTCTTTTGATGATTCTGGTCTATAACTGAACCAGAAATCATCAGCCTCTTCTTCTGGTTTCATATTTTTGTTTTATAATAAGAATATTCTTTGATATTTGATAAAATTTGACCAAAACAGATAAAATTTATAATTTTATTTTTTTAAATTTAAAATTTTCCGAAATATGCGCCCGCCGCAATATATGGTGCAGCGGTTAATCCGAAACTGTGTTTCCAGTCTGTTTGCCAGCGCGAAATTTTCTTGATGAAAAATTTAATCAGTTTGGCAAAGTAGAAAAATAATAAAATTTAAATACTATGATGGAAATGACTAATGAGCACAAGAGCAGTATTACGAAAAATAAAAAGCTAGTCTTTCGATGCTTCTTTTAGTAAAAAGACTTACTTGTTCAACTCAAACTTCAAAGAAATTTAGAAAAATTCATGAAGTGGATGTTTCGTCATCCAAGATCCAAGATGGCGGCGACAAGGAGTATTTTTCGTTTTCTAAATTCAAGACTTTCTACGTCGTTTTCTGCCCTAAGAATTGGATTGCCAAGCGGACATAGTAAGGCGACAAAACGTACAGATGTTTACAAATTAAGTTTGTTAACAGCTAATGGTATGTACACAATAATCAATATTCTAATGTAAAACTGTTTTGTTGCATTTTATAGCTGCCCATCTGTGGTCAAGAATGTCATATCAATATACCAAACCAGCGAGACTATTTTCTACACATAACAAGCAACCTTGGATCAAGTACTACAGTCTTCTTTGGGACCAACCACAAAAATCCATATGCCAAAAACTAATATTGCCCTTGACAACTAGAACTTTATCAACGACTGTTTATAGCAGACCTCTGCTGTCCATGCCTTCGGGGAATTTATGTTTTCGAAGAGGAATTACCCTAATCAGCAAAAAAGGAAAGCGTAAAACATGCAAAGCAGTGGCCAAGAGGTTCATTAGAACTGGCAAAGGGAAATTGAAAAGATGGCGATGTGGATACCATCATAATCAAACGAAAAAGAGCAGCAGAAGGAAGAGAGCCTTACGGAAACCAACATATGCATCGAAAACACAGCTTAAGACTTTGAATAAGATGTTAAATGGCTGGTAGTTAAAGTTAATGTTACTATATAAAGATGTAAATTAATTAACATTATGTGAATTACTGAATTTTCTAACAGTGCTGCCAGTTCTGCTGTGAATTTTTTGACTGCCAAGAATTTTGCAATAAGCTGCTATGGTTTGGGGCAACCTGAAAAAATCAAAAACACTTGGACGTTTTAAGGGAAGCTCTTTCGTAAAGAGCTTATTAGTTAGTAGTAGTTACATTACTCCTGACGAATTTTCTGTCTCGAAATTGGTATTTCAGACACAACTTATTGCTAAATATCAAACTTTTTTTGGCATTTTGCTCGATCGAAGCATCCAGCTAATCAGTGGCCCATTGTCGGCCATGATGAATCAAGAAGAAAATCCTTCCCGATAGACAAATAATTTTACACACAATGTCCATTGACAGTGGAGCTACAACAGTCGACAATAGTAAAACGCATAAATAGTTATCACAAGTCAGGACACAATAACATTGATGCAGTTATATTTTAGATTATTATATCTGTTTATTGCTCTATAAGTCTATACTTCTTTCATCTGTTAGTTACTTTTACTGTGGTCAAACAAAAATTTGTTCAGTATAAGTTAAAATCTGTTAATAGTTGCTTGATACTTATTTTATTTGTTAGTTATATTACACTGCGGTTATACAAAAAGTATATACGATTAACTATCTTATGTAAACGTACAATCATCTATTTCTTAAATTTGAATGATAGTATAAGTAGCCACTCTCACTGGATCCTTAATAGTAATAGTATCTGTCAACGTTCACACAATTCGATAGACAGACTTGTTGTCCATCTTTCACAGGAGACGAGACAATTTTGTATCGATTATCGGTACTGTTGTCTCAAGTCACTGTTTACATGAGACCAGGTTGAAAAATTGCTGTGTGGGATGAAATTAAATACAAAGTATTTCCTCAACAACGTTTATTGTAGCTTGGATTTCTCGAAATACGTGAAGATGATTTCCGCAACCCGGCCTCATGTAAACGAATTTCAGCGTTTATGTAATAACGTTGCATGACAGTACTGTTCAAAACTATGTCACACTGGCTTCTACAACCTTCTCACTTCGGGCTTCTACAGCCTTCATACTTCGGGCTTCTGCAATGGATTGGAATCCACGACGTCAACTAATTTATCTCTTTTGCTAATGTTTTAGTAGACTTGCCAGAACTTTGCTTCTTGACTGAAATAAAAAGGAGATATTAAGGTTAAACCTTGGCTAAGATCTAGTAATTTTATCATTGACCTCTCTGGATATTACTATTGTCGTACCTTCTTCTCTGAACCACCCCTCTGTTCCTTGTGACCGTGCGCTTCTTCACGATCACTCGATGCAGATCTCCCACCGCGACTCTTTGTCGAGCTCGACTCGGACCAGCCACGTTCCCGGGTACCCCCAGCTACACCTCGGACTCCCATATCACCCTTACCATGTCCCTGCTTATCACTTTTCCGCCGTCTACCATCTTTGACCGCGCTCAGGACCTGTGATGTAAAGTTAACACAGTAAAGTCACGGGGGGTATTAACCTTTATCGCAGTTGAGTGCTGATTGGAAATGTCGTATGGAATGCTGATAGGGTGCCTCTAACTGCTACCGTACGGATAAAATGAAAGGGTTTGTTTTAATGAGGCAGCCAGAACCAACCACAACTCTACTTGCAAGAGGTTTCATGCACATCTTGTCTTGATAGTGATCCTAACTGAATATTCTACCCACACCCTACAGTAACAGGCTTAATTCTACAGTAAGGGGAGACACGTGCATCTTTCAGCCATGATTCCCTGTTTTAGCTAAGAGATTACCTGGGTAAGAGATGTATTTTTGTTTCCCCTGTCTGAATCTACTTCCCTCTCCATCAACACTTCATTCAAGCTTGCAAGTTGTTCTCTTAGGTCTTCGTTATCGTTACGCAGTCTGATTAACTCCACCCGTTCTTGGGAGATTTCATGACCTCTTTCTCCTTCCTCAAACTGGCTCTTCTCCTTCTCGACTTGTACAAGTCGTTTCACAATATTCTCCATCTCGTTTAGACGTTCTTTTTCCCACTTCAGTTCCGAAATAGAATCTTCAAGGTTGGCTTTCTCTTCAAGAAGAGAAGCAACATCAGATCTGAGCTCAACCAATTTCTCACCGTTCACGTAATCTTTGTCCCTTCTCTCCTTGGAATTTTTTTCTAATTCCTCAACCCGCCTCTCCAAACGGGATTTCTCCTCTTCTACTTGGCCTACTCTATTAACTTCATTTGCGAGCACGTCGATATTGTCCAGTGCTTCTTGAAGATCATCGCCAAGCTTGATCTTCTCCTTGTTACTAGCGCCCAGTTCCTGGGCGAGGATCAGGCAGCGTTCACGTGTTAAGGCAAGCTCCTTTTCCCGCCTGTTTTCATCCTCGCTCAACCCTGAATAACCCGCACGCCTGTCGCTTGAAGAATCCTGGACTGAATTATTTCCCATTTCTAGTTGGGATTTCAACTTTGTAAGCTGTTCTTTGGCTAAAGACAGTTCATTTTTGAGCCTGTCCTTTTCTTCCTTACCACGGTTGAACCTGAACGAGCGGCGTTTTGTTTTGGAGCCAAACGGACCAGCATCATCAGCCAATTTCTCTTTGTCAATAACTTCAACATCATGAATGCATTCCTCAGCTCTTAGCCTCGCTCTGACTTTATCCAGCTCTTCCGAAATCTCTTTCTTTTCCTTCACAAGCTTACAGACTTCACCTTCGAGTCGGAAGCACTTTTGTCGTGATGCTTTAAGCTGGGACTCTAAAGAACCGGTGTGTTGCAACAGCAGTGAAGCACTCTTCAACTTATCCCGTATTCGACTTGGCTTGCCTTCCATTTCCAGTTTCAACATTTTCAGGGAACCGAAACTCCCGCGTGATGACCGTAACGAACTGAAACTTGTGTACATCTGTGGTTCACTGAGATCCATCATGGATCGAGACATACTATGGTAGTTTGGTGAATAGCTGGGTGCTGAAGCGAGATTAAATGTACTACCTGATAGATGCGAGGTGGAAGAGAGGTCTGCGAACGAATCATTTTCATAGTCTTTCCACTTTTTAAGATTACTTTCCTCTTCAAATGGTTCAAAACTATCAGGTTTTTCGGCACTCTCTCCTCCTTCTGCAAGCTGAGATTCCAAATAAATCTTTAAACCTTGCAATTCTTTGACTTCTTCCTCCAATAACACATTCTGATCTTTTAAATGTTGTCTTTCTTTCAGTTCTGTCTCCAGTGCGGTTGTTCGTATCTTAAAGTTCCTAATCTCTCCTTCAAGATGTTTTAAAAGTTGCTTTGTCAGAGAATATTTCCTCGTTAACTTTTGAACAAGTACATGCGTTTTAATGTCATCGCCTGCTTCACCCTCGCATCCGTCGCTCTCTCCAGATTCGGCTGAACTATCCGAGACGAAACTAACATCAGTTTGACAATTCTTCGTGTCGAACTCTCGTGGTTCAGTGCTTATGTTTACTTTCTTTACAGATTCGGTTTCCCAAGAGTGCACATTAATAGATGGAGGAGCTTCCGTCGTCGTTTTCGTACGATATACTTCAGTCGTTATTTCTGCGTCAACCTGTTGTGTCCTGTCTTGTTTGCTGTCCACTTTCGGAAACTGTGGATTCTTTGGGGAATTCTTCTGTGTGACCTTCTCTTGTAAACCAGCGATGTTACCTCGCAAGTCGGTTAGAAGTGATTCAAGGGTAGTACGATCTTTCACGAGCGACAAACATTGCCTGCCAAGTGCATCGTTGTTCACCTTCATTGCATTAATATCGCGTTCTAGTGCTTCTATATCTTCCATCGAACTATTCAAGATCAGGCCTGTGCTCGTATTAACGTGCTCTGCACTGTCAATAGCGCTGTCAACAAGTCGGTTTATCTTCTTGGACTTGTCCGTGTCTTTATCTAGGAACTCTAATGTTTCCTGAAAAGGAAAGATGTGGAAAGATTATGTTAAGTGTTGTCCTCAGCAGTGTACATGTGAGGACACCATTTAACCGATGAAATATAAATAAATGAAGCAGCGCTGTAACCACTGAGCTTTGGTTAGAGCTTTTAAGGCAGGTTGCGCGAAAGCTGGTTAGTCCAATCATTTGTTTATAAATTATGGAAATATTTTTATAAATCTTGTCTCGATCAATATCTTGTCTCGGTAGAAGTTTTATTTTCTAAAGTATTGAAAAAAAAACAGACAATGCACAAACCAAAATAGCAGGTTAAATATTAACTCAGGGTAATACAACTTTGAACAACTAGCCCCTAGGATGTTAAACCAAGACCTTAGGTTCACGGAGACATTCAGAACTTAACTCTATTTGTGCTCCAAACGTTTCCGTATGTTGACGATTTTTTAAAGCAAATACCTCGACCTCTTCTATAAAGAAGTTCATAAATACATTATACACTTACGTCTACCTTTATCTCAATAAGATGTTTCAAAGTTTTGTCCGACTCCGTCTTACTGCTCACCAGATGTTCTCGAAACTCCTCCCGCTCCACCGTACTTACTGCCTTTCTTCCCTCGCCTTTAGAATCCGACGGAATTTCACTTGTAAAAGTCATCAATTTCTCCACTTCTGGCCCTTTAGGTGCTGGCGCAGGATGTCTGGCACTAGATGACGTCATTATCGTCTCACTGTCATAAGTGGAAATGAGTTTGCCGGTTTTTGGATCGCGTTGTTGTGTTGGAAGATTGTTATTTTCTGTCAGAGATGTTGGACTTTCCGCTTCGATCAGAGAAACCTAAAATAATCAAGGGTTAAAATTTATCATATTTCGAACATGGAATAGTATCTTCTTAGGCGCCCCCTAACTATTTAGTCCAATTGGACAGATTTAAAAGGCTTTTATTCAGTAATCCATTTATCTACAAACCTGTGTCTGCGCTTCTCTCGTCAGCCTCTTTCCTACATCATCCTGAGTGAATCTCTCTCCCATCACCTTCATCATAAATTCCAATTTCTCATTTTCTTTTGTCAACTTGCTAACT